GTTGAAACACAGAAGAGCCAACACTCCAGGTGTATCCCAGGGGCACTACACACACACCAGGGGAGGGAAGGGGGAGGGAGGGAGGGAGAGGGAGAGGGAGAGAGAGAGAGAGAGAGAGAGATGCCGGTCTTAGCTAAACAACTGTCCAGATGCCATAAAGACTATAATCAGGAGGATAAGGATTCTCCGTCCTCCCCCCTCCTCCCTCTTACCTCCTCTTTTTTTCTCTCCCCTTCCTGTCCCTCTGTCATCCTCTTTCCCCTTCATCTGTTCGCTCGTCCCCAGTGGACCACACACGATAAACAAATAGACAACAACACACGCAGAGCTGCTGCCATGACTTAAAATCTATACGAAGATTAATGGTCAAGTCTTCAGAGCTGAATCTGTCTGAGGTCTTTGTCATAAGATCTGTGAGATCGAAGACATTTATTGGAAATACAAATGTGTATATTTAGGGATGTCCGATATTAACTTTTTGTCAACATCTGATATGCAATATTGTTCAAACACTTAATTTACGATTCCGATATCAACCGATATAGGCCTGCTAATGTTTATGAATGTATCTGTACAAACCACTGTAAGAGTATGAGATTAATTAAATGAGCTCCAATGCTGCCATCTATTGACTTTCATTTTAATATACAGCCGTTTATCCCCAAAACGATTTTTCAGGCACACATCATTTGGCATTGCGTTATCGAGTTTTCATTATCCGAGGAAAAAACCGATAATGATTCTTACAGACATTACATAATATGCTAATATTGGGCCAATAATATTGGGCCAATAATATTGGTCGGCCGATATTATCGGATATCCCTATATATATTCGCTGTTCAATGTAGTGTTTTTATTTCAATCCAAATCAGTAAAGTATATTTACCGTCAATACTCTTATTCGTTGACCCAATCCAAATCCTTCTTTTCTACCGATGTTTTTGACACTGACCGTTGAAAACTAATGCACTGACACTTCAGTCTCAGACATTAAACACAGACACTTCAGAGATCTTCTTCCTGCACTCCCCACAACGGTGTGTGTGAAGTGAAACATCTCATCAAGTATTAGATGGACTTCTGTGAAATTTGACACAAATAATCCCATTCCTGGGAGGATTTCTTTCTCATGACCTCAGTGACCCCTGGGACTTTACCTAAAGCATCACTTTGAGGTTTGTCTTGAGGTTTAAATGACAGGATTACGAATTTGTTGACGCGGCTAAAAATACTGTAACCAAACAAAATGGGCAGAGAATCTCTGACCATTGGCTGTGTCCCCTGTATTCTGAGTCACTGCGGAGCAGGTGATTGACAGCTGCTCAGTGTGAGTGACAGACATCTGGAGACCCTAAAGTGGACAGACCGCAGTGAAGTTTTCCTCCAGGTCACCTTGCTTTGCTTTTTTTTCCTGATTGTTCTCTATATTTTTTTTCTTTTCTTTTCCCTTTTTTCCCCATTTCCTTTTCTATTTCTGGTGATCCATTCAATCCATTTTATGCCCTCCATGTACTCACTCTCCTCTGCATACCTGTCCGGTCCAACTGTGTCTCAGTGGAACAAATGCAGCAGTGACATACTGGAGTTGATCTGCAGGCCATTCAGCACTCTGCCATATGGTCACACTGTGACAAAGAGAGAGAGAGAGAGAGAGAGAGAGAGAGAGAACAACAACGACGACGACAACAGTCTGCAGCACATACATTAATACAGTGTCATCCATCAGCTGTGAACACAGACGCCTGGTAAACAAGTCTCCAGAAACACTGTAGTGAAATGGAGGTGTTGAATATGTAATCAGATCCAAAATGTAAAAGAAAAACAAGGTGATCAGATTTGGTACCATGTAAAGATCCATGTGACTGAATCCGGTTCTGGTTTTGTGAAAATAAAACTTTGACAGCCAATTATAGTCAGTCTGACACTGAGGTGAGGTGTTTATGAAGACCATATTCACAAAAAGCACATTTTAAAAATGAACTTATTCTCTTTTTCTTTTCTTTTTTTTAATCGTCTCACAGCCGTCCTTCAGAAGTCAACCACAGACTACTGAATTGCTGTTTTCCTGACTCAGTTACGTCTTTGAAGATCAGCAGCAGTCCACCGGGGTTTAATGCACTTTGTTTACTCTGGTCCTAAATATTGTAATAATAAACATGATCAAACTGTGCAGCAGGCTTCTGCAGCCATCTCCTCTTCCTCTGCCTTCCTATAATTTTTTGCAAACACGCCACCGCTGTTGGTGAAAGCTTAATCTCCTGTTTGGACGAGGATTTCTCCCAGGAAACAGGAGCGACCTGACTGTCAGGAGATACATGTTTAAGTCTGAAGTGAATAACAGAGGAGTGTTTAGGATGTGGCATCAGACAGCAGGAGGGACGGAGTCGTGTCACTGCTATTAATTTTAAAAAATGAACCGAGAAGAAGGAACGGCCTCCTGTTGTTGAAAACTTTTTAATAATGTGACTTTTGTTCCTTTTTTTAATGTGCCTGTTTTTTTAGAGACAATTAAACAGCGTGATCCTCTGAAGTGTCTGACCTCGCCGCAGATTTGATATAACGACATTCTTAATCTTTCTTTACTACGACAATATTACTTCTTTGAAATAGGCAACAACTTTAGAACATTTAAATTACAAGGTTTGTTAATATGTTAAAATGTAGAGGTCAAGTTGTACGTTTTTCAGCTCAGTGTAATACAGATTTAGAAAGACAGATGGATAATTAATTCATTTATTTAATTATTATTATATTTTAGATTTGTGTCAACTCAGGCCAAACAACAGAGGAACCGTGGCAGTTTGTGAAAACACACGATAATGCAAGCTTATTAAATGGAATGGAATGAATTACTTTTGATACCAAATAATTAATTATTTTTACTTTTAAAGAAGTAATATTTAAGTAGTCACTCATTTTACATTTATAAATCTTGCCTGTATTTTACTGTGAATTGTAAATTATTCCAGGTTCATTTCCTTGACTATAAATATGTTAACACGTTGAGTGTGGAGTATAAATGAACAAACACACCATAGTATTGTACAAAAGAAATTACCTCAGTTTTTTGTGGGTCACTAGAAGTGTATGGTGGTGTGTTCATCTGCTGGGATTCTGTTCTCTGTCTGCGTCTCCTCCCTTTTTCCTGGAACCAGTGGAAATGACTTGACAGCGATTCTACTGCAACACCAAGAACACGAAGCTGCTGTAAAAGAAAGGAAGAAAACTGGAGGTGTACAGCATCAACGACCAGCGCTAGCTCAGCGCTATAATACACATTCAAAAATACTTGAAATTCAAAATTGATAAAGAGTCTCCAAAAATCTCACATCATCATTATTATTAACATGTTCCAGATTTCACTGAGTTCCCAGAATACTTTTTACTCATGGAGCAGCAAGTGCAGCCACAGCGACACACTTAGTGTTTCCCAACATCTGCGTTGCAGGATTCCAAAATTCTCAGAAAACAGCACCAAATTAGATTCACATTAGCACTCCTGAAAAAGAAAAAAGAAAAGAAAAAAGAATTAGTGGCAGTGAAACAGGGTAAAATATGTAACAAATGATTCACACAATAACACACACACACACACACACCCATCTCCCTGACCTGCGTGCTGAAGGTGTCGCTATAGTCACTCTGAGTCACTGAGTCTAACACAGTGACAGATGATGCACGTGATCACATCAATGTGTCACTGCCATACACTGACAGTGGAAAACATGAAGGAAACACAGTTCATTTGGCTTAAAGTTCTTTTTCTGCTGCACACACACACACACAATGAACAGTTGCTATATTATGTGTAAATAACAAGCAGCAGGTTAA